TATATATATATTCATATGAGAGAGCGTGATCCACCGCCGCTTTACTATGGAACATTCCCCCCCTCGTCCTCCGGAGCTCGGGGTTCCCCCTCCCTCCGAAAATGCCCCCCCCCCCTGCTGGACCTCCCCCCCCCCCCCCCGGCAACCCCCCTCCCCTCCCCTAACCCTCTCCCCACCCCCCTCCCCCTTCGAAAACCGAGGGGGGGGTTCACTACCGGTTCGAACCCCCCAGCAGGCTTCGAAAGTGGCGACAGTTTCACAGATCGCAGCCCCCCAGGGACGGCGAGGTTCCATTTGAATCCGCCGTGGGTACCCACTGCGCTGAGCTCCCCAGCAGGCCTCGAAAGTGGCGACAGTTTCACAGATCGCAGCCCCCGAGGGATGGCGAGGTCCCATTTGAATCCGCCGTGGGTGCCCACTGCGCTGGGCCCCCCAGCAGGCTTCGAAAGTGGCGACCGTTTCACAGATCGCAGCCCCCCAGGGATGGCGAGGTGCCATTTCAATCCGCCGTGTGTACCCATTGTGCTGGGCCCCCCAGCAGGCCTCAAAAGTGGCGACAGTTTCACAAATCGCAGCCCCATCGGGATGGCGAGGTCACATTTGAATCCGCCGTGGGTACCCACTGTGCTGGGCCCCCCAGCAGGCCTCGAAAGTGGCGACAGTTTCACAGATCGCAGCCCCCCAGGGATGGCGAGGTCTCATTTGAATCCGCCGTGGGTACCCACTGCGCTGGGCCCCCCAGCAGGCCTCGAAAGTGGCGACAGTTTCACAGATCGCAGCCCCCCAGGGATGGCGAGGTCCCATTTGAGTCCGCGATGGGTGCCCACTGTGCTGGGCCCCCCCCGCAGGCCTCGAAAGTGGCGACAGTTTCACAAATCGCAGCCCACCAGGGACGGCGAGGTATCATTTGAGTCCGCCGTGGGTACCCATTGTGCTGCGCCCCCCAGCAGGCCGCGAAAGTGGCGACAGTTTCGCAGATCAAAGTCCCCCAGGGATGGCGAGGTCCGATTTGAGTCCGCCGTGGGTACCCACTGCGCTGGGCCCCCCAGCAGGCCTCGAAAGTGGCGACAGTTTCACAGATCGCAGCCCCCCAGGGATGGCGAGGTCCCATTTGAGTCCGCCGTGGGTACCCACTGCGCTGGGCCCTCCAGCGGGCCTCGAAAGTGGCGACAGTTTCACAAATCGCAGCCCTCCAGGGATGGCGAGGTCCCATTTGAATCCGCCGTGGGTGCCCACTGTGCTGGGCCCCCCAGCAGGCCTCGAAAGTGGCGACAGTTTCACATATCGCAGTCCCCCAGGGATGGCGAGGTCCCATTTGAGTCAGCGGTGGGTGCCCACTGCTGGGCCCCCAGCAGGCCTCGAAAGTGGCGACAGTTTCACAGATCGCAGCCCCCCAGGGATGGCGAGGTATCATTTGAGCCCGCCGTGGGTACCCACTGCGCTGGGCCCCCCAGCAGGCCTCGAAAGTGGCGACAGTTTCGCAGATCGCAGCCTCCCAGGGACGGCGAGGTCACATTTGAACCCGCCGTGTGTACCCACTGTGCTGGGCCCCCCAGCAGGCCTCGAAAGTGGCGACAGTTTCACAAATCGCAGCCCCATCGGGATGGCGAGGTCGCATTTGAATCCGCCGTGGGTACCCACTGTGGTGCGCCACCCAGCAGGCCTCGAAAGTGGCGACAGTTTCACAGATCGCAGCCCCCCAGGGATGGCGAGGTGCAGTTTCAATCCGCCGTGTGTACCCACTGTGGTGCGCCACCCAGCAGGCCTCGAAAGTGGCGACAGTTTCACAGATCGCAGCCCCCCAGGGATGGCGAGGTGCAGTTTCAATCCGCCGTGTGTACCCATTGTGCTGGGCCCCACAGCAGGCTTCGAAAGTGGCGACAGTTTCACAGATCGCAGCCCCCCGAGAATGGCGAGGTGTAATTTCAATCCGCCGTGTGTACCCACAGCGCTGGGCCCCCCAGCTGGCCTCGAAAGTGGCAACAGTTTCACATATCGCAACCCCCAGGGATGGCGAGGTGCAATTTCAATCCGCCGTGGGTACCCACTGCGCTGGGCCCCCCAGCGGGCTTCGAAAGTGGCGACAGTTTCACATATCGCAGTCCCCCAGGGATGGCGAGGTCCCATTTGAATCCGCTGTGGGTGCCCACTGTGCTGGGCCCCCCCAGCAGGCCTCGAAAGTGGCGACAGTTTCACAGATCGCAACCCCCCAGGGATGGCGAGGTGCAATTTCAATCCGCCGTGTGTACCCACTGTGCTGGGCCCCCCAGCAGGCCTCGAAAGTGGCGACAGTTTCACAGATCGCAGCCCCCCAGGTGGCACGCAGCGACGAGCGAGGCAAAAGGCAAGGGGGAAGAGAGGGGCGGGAAGGAAAAAAGGAAACGCGCGAGCAGTGCTCTATTCAAAACGAGAACCCAACGCAGGAGGGTTGGGACAAAAACGAATTCCTACCTAATTCCGGTTTTTGGATTAGGTGCGCGGGGCCGCCGGCATTTCCGCCGGTCTGTGGTTCGGAGGGCTGAACCTCCGACATGTCGGAAGAAAATAAGACCGCTGACATTGCCGCCAGTCTGATTCCAGGAGGCGCTTGCCTCGTAGGTGGGGTAGATGTGCAGGGCCGCCGGAATTGTCGCCGGGCTGCGTCCCCGAGGGCAGAACCTCCGACAAGTCCCCTGGCATTTCCGCCATGCTGCGTCCAAGAGGCGCTTGCGTCGTGGGTGGGGCTGGTGTGCAGGACCGCCGGCATTGTCGCCAGGCTGTGTCCCTGAGGGCAGATCTTCCGACGTATCGAGAGTGCCAAAGACCGTTGGCACTGCCGCCAGGGTGTGCCTAGAAAGCACTTGCCGCGTAGGTGGGGTGGTGTGCCCACCCAGGGATACAGGATGATCAGTAGTACGATTGCCCCCTTCCAGGGTCGACCGATCACGGGGCGGGGATGACTGCGTCAGATTGACACTCTAGCCAACAGCTGCATAAATTTTAAGGAAGGGGAGAACGATTGCAGTGTACCGCTGATCTCCTGAAGACAAGACCTTTGGCATTACCGCCAGTCTGTGTCCGTAAGCGCTTGTCTCGTAGGTGGGGCATGCGTGCAGGGCCGCCAGCATTGCCGCCAGGCCATGTCCCCGAGGTTGGGAACTTCCGACGAATCGAATGAAAACAACTGGCTGCGTCGTCGAGACACATGCCTCGCGAGTGGGGCAGCTGCGCAGGCCCGCCGGCATTGCCGCCGGGCTTTGTCCCGGAAGTTGCAATTTCTGACGAATCGAATGGATGCAATTGACTGTGTCCGGGAGATTCATGCCTCATGAGTGGGGTAAGTGTGCAGAACCAAGAGATGCATGCCTCGTGGATGTGGCCGGTGCGCGGGGCCGCCGGCATTGTCTTCGGTTTGAGTCCCAGAGGGAGGCCAGAACCTCCGTCTTGTCGAAAGCGAACGAGAACACCGGCGTTTCCTCCAGACTGTGCCCAGAAAGCGCTTGCCGTACGCAAGACCGCCGGCATTGCCGCCACTCTGTGTCCCCGAAGCCCGGTGCACCTGATATTGAACCATTGGGGATAATAAAGTTGTTCCTTGGTAGTACGCCGCCCCAGCGACACGCTAGGCACGCCGCCCCAGCGACACGCTCGGCAAAACGCCGCCCCGGCGACGCGCTTGAGCTCGCGCGCAGAGGAGAGGGAGGGGAAGATTTATTTATTATCCCAGGCTCACGGCAACAGAATTCCCAACGATGCGAATGAAGACCAGGCATTGGGCAATTCCGCCATTATGTATCCAGTAGGCGCTGGCCTCGTAGGTTGAGTAAGCGTGCAGGACCGCTGGCATTGCCGCCAGGCTATGTCCCAGAGGTTAAAACCTCCGACGACTCGAGCAAAACAATTGGTAACCTCGGTAATTGGCACCACGCTACAGATGCGCAGGGCCGCCGGCCTTGCCGCCCTGGCAACGTCCTTGAGGCAACAGCCTCGCGACGTGGGTTGGCGAGCATATTCTGCAGGCGAACGATGGCTCGCGCTGCCGCCAGCCGGCGTTTCACAGAGGGCGGACCTTGGTAACGGTCCGACGTGAAAGGGCGCAGGGCCGCCGGCCTTGCCGCCGGGCAAAGTCCTCGAGGCATCTGCCTCGTGACGTGGGCAGGCGCGCAGACTCAGCTGATGCACGCAACTGGCGTCGTCGCCAGGCAGTGTCCACAGGGGGCGAGGTGCGAGGACCAGGGGGGAGTGAGCGTGCAGGACCGCCGGCCTTGCCGCCAGGTTGTGTCCTTGAATCAGCAGCCTCGCGACAGGGGTCGGCACGCGCAGTCTGCGGACGCACGATGGCTTGCACTGTCGCCCGCCAGCGCCTCAAAGAGGGTGGACCTTGGTAACGGTGCGACGTGGGAGCGTGCAGGACCGCCGGCCTTGCTGCCGGGCTGTGTCCTTGAGGCGACTGCCTCGCGACGTGGGAAAGCGTGCAGACTCATCAGATGCACGTGACATGTCGTTGCCGCTAGGCAGCGCCCACAGGAGACGAGGTGCAAGAACGGGGAGAAGTGAGCGCGCAGGACCGCCAGCCTTGTTGCCAGGACGAAGGCAATCGCGCGGAATCTGCGCATGCACGATGGCTGGCGCTGCCGCCCATGCCTCAATCACTAGAGGCGGGTGCCCGTGACTGTCCATGGACCCATGGACTCGGATTGGCATCCAGGCCGGTGATGCCTTGCTGCCTCCCTGGGGAAGGCCGTGCCTGCCCTGAGCGTGAGGGCAAAAAGTTCTAGGCCACTGTCGCCCAGCCATTCACTGGATCACAGGCTACCAGGGGTGCTCCTCGAGGTCAAGGACCTCTTAGTGACGCCCCGTGCGCCCCCTTGGCTTTTCCCCTTATCCAGTATCAAATGGCGTCGGCACGGGGAATATGAGGAAGAGGAGGAGAAGGAGGAGGAGGAGGAGGAGGAGGAGTTGGAGTTGCAAAAGAGGAACTATCATTGCGATCGCGTGTCCTGGCGTTCCGCCCCCGCCAGGCAGCCCCATGGGAGCCGCGGCTGGAGGAATGTCGGGCTCCCAGTCGCCCCTGACCTGCCGGCCCGTCGGTGCTCACCCTGCCTCGGAGCTCAAGAGACGGGGGTCGCTGCAAACGGGGGTAAGCCAGAGCGCCGGATCTTGCAGGATCCTGCAGAACCAGAGGCGCATTGAACTGGGTTTGGGTGCAGGATCTTGCAGGAGCCTGCAGGATCTTGCATGGTCTTGCTAGACCCGACTGGCCCGGGTCTGGATTGACACGGTTCAGTGGGCCCCCGATCGTTTTCTCTTTTGGGCGGCGGGGCTTTCTGACCTCGTCGGAGGTTTTCACAGGTAAGTATTCGGGGGTTTTTGGGACTCAGGGTGGCTTTCATCAGCTGTGCCACATTGCCGCCTCAGGCCCGAGCAGTGGTTAAGAAACCACACGACGGGGTCTTCCCCTCCTATCCCCTCTGGCTGGCCCAGGCTTGGGATCCATATGGGACCGTAGCCCCCCCCCCTCCGCACTCCGCCGACCAGGGTTGGTGGGATAATGAGTCACTGCCGATGCGGCTGGCAAATGTTCGCGACATGGCCTTGGCTGACACGCGTGAGCGCGTCTCGACCCGAGGGGGATTGCTCCATGATTCGGGTTTGCGCCGTTTTCGGCCTCCCAGGGCCGTTGCTGGACCCAGTGGCGGCCCAGAAGCGGCTCAGGCTGAACAGCCAGTCCTGGGAGAAGCCCTGGGCTCCAGGACTCATTTCAACCTGAGCAATTATTTGTTTTTTGCGGTATCCTTGGAGGGTCTGGAGTGAAGGGGAGGTGGATGCGGATTTCTCAAACGTTAACTTCCGTATTCTCGTTCTTTCTTCCGCGCTCCTCACGCTTCCGTCCTCCTTCCTATCTTCGGGCCCCACAGCTACTCTAGGCCTTCCAGATGGTGTCCGAGTAGATGTGGTCGGAGGATCGCGCCGCCTCGCCGATGCATCGCTGATGTATCGCCGATACATCTCCGATGCATCGTCGATGCATCAGCAACGTTCACGATGCATCGGCGACGTCGGCTTTGGTAAAGTCGGGCTGCACATCGAGCCGCATCGCCGATACATCGGCGATGCGGCTTGATCCTCCGACCCCATCTGTTCGGACCCCATTTCGGAGGCCTCTAGCTGCACATCAACCTTGGGCGCAGCCGGGCGCAGGACGGGCCTGGTCAGGCGTGGGGTCGTTGCATTGTTTGCCCTTCTCTCGCCGCTTCCCTCATTCCCTCCTCCTTCCCTCCGCTTCCATCCTCCCTACGCGTGGCATTTCGGCACCCTGCAAGTCCCGTCGCAGTTAACACGACGCCGCCTGGTGGCTTTTGACGGTGCGTAATTGTGGAGCGGCCTCTGCAAAGTTGAGAGGCGCACTTTGATATTCTTTGCTGAGCGGCCGCTTCAACGTTGTCGGGCGCGCCGGGCTCTTGCTTTGATTCTTCCCCCGCGCACCCCGATGCGCTGGCTTCAACTTTGGAGGGCGGGGGCAAGCTCCTAGCGGCGCGACTTCAACTGTCCAGCTGCTTGCGGCAAGTCCCGCCACCGTGCCATTCCAGCATGTTGGGTGGCGACTATTCGAGGGGTTATGGGAGGCCGTTACGTATGGTTATGGGGGCCTCTTGAGGGATGCTTTTGGGTCTCTCGGGCTTTTTTGGCAGCGCCTTGGGGGCGCCTTGGAGGCTCTTGAGGGCTGCTTGGGCCGTCAGAGGGCGCTCTTGGTCCGCATGGGCGCTTTCATGTTACTTCTTCGGGGGCTCTCTGGGTCGTATTGGGGCTCTCTTGGGAACCTTGGGGGCCGTCTGAGCGCCAACTTGGGCCGATTGGGGCCGCTCTTGGGCCATCGTGGCGCTCTCTTGGGTCGTCCTCGGGCCCGCTTGGCGCCCTCCTGGACAGTCCTGAGGCCACCTTGGAGGCCTCTGGGGCCATCTTGAGCCGACGACCGCTCGAAACGGCGAGAATGCACAACTCCTTCAACCACCGAAGGAACATCAATGGTGCTGGCCTCTTCGGGCCTTGCTGGAGGCTCTATTGGAGCCCTCTTGGGCCGTCTTGGAGGTTTGGGCCGCGTCGAGGCCATCTTTAGCCATCTTGGGCTGTCATGGAGGCATCGTGGACCATCTTGGCGGCCTTGGCGGACTGCCAGGTCCGTCTTGTGGGCCATCGTGGGCGTTTCGGGCGCCTTGGAGAGCGCCAGGGAGGCGTCTTGGCCGCCCAGGGAGCCCCAGGAGTAGAGGTGATGCACGCGGCTGGGCGCGGCGTGCGGGGGGTACCTCTGAAGACTAAAGACACCCTGCCAGTTAGCACTTGGCATTCTTCCACGCCTCCACGTGCGACGTTGCGGTGGCGGATGTCTCGTTAATTGCGTTCAGATTTGTAGGTGGGAGCCGCCAGGGGGTAGATCACAGGCCTGTTCGCGTCCATATTGAAATGGCCTCCGGCCAGTGCCGCCGATCCGGGGCGCTTCGGATGATGATGATGATGATGATGATGATGATGATGATGATGATGATGATGATGATGATGATGATGATGATGACCATGATGATGCTGATGATGATGATGTTGATGATAATGATGATGGTGATGATGATGATGATGATGATGATGATGATGCTGATGATGATGATGATGATGATGATGATGATGATGATGATGATGATGATGATGATGATGATGATGATGACGATGACGATGACTGACTTGGGGGGTCCTTGGGGGCAGTTGGGGCCTTTTGGGGCCTCTTGGGGGCGTCTTGGGGCCTCCTGGGGGCCTCCTGGGCCGTCTTGGGCCCTTCTTGGGCCGTCTTGGAGCCCTTGTGGGCGCCTCTTGGGCCCGTCCTGGAGCCCTCTTGCGCCGTCTTGGGGGCCTCCTGGGCCTGCGTAAGCCCTTCTTAGGCCGTCTTGGAGCCTTTTTGAGGGCCCCTTGAGCCGTTTTGGACACTGGGGGGTCCTTGGGGGCCAGTTGGGGCCTTTTGGAGCCTCTTGGGGGCGTCTTGGGGCCTCCTGGGGGAGCCCTTTTGGGCTCCTCTTGGGCCCGTCCTGGAGCCCTCTTGCGCCGTCTTGGGGGCCTCCTGGGCCTGCGTGAGCCCCTCTTAGGCCGTCTTGGAGCCTTTTTGAGGGCCCCTTGAGCCGTTTTGGACACTGTGAAGGCCCAAGAGGCGAACATGCTAAAAATGTAGGTTTCCCAAAGGGAAATCGATGATTTTGGCCGGTCGGGGCCCTTTTGGAAGACCTCTTGGGGGCCTCTGGGGGCGTCTTGGCGGCCTCTTGGGCTGTCTTGGGTTCATGTTCGGCGTCTTGGATCGATTTTTGGGCGATCCAGAAACGTATTGGCCCGTCTTGGCGGCTTCTTGGCAACGTTTGGGTCCGTTTTGGCCAACCGAACCCCGACCAACCGAACCCAATCTGTCGAAGACCCCCCCCCTACCCCGGCAGAGCCACCCCGGCCCACCCCCCCCTTCAACTCACACGCCGGATCGGCGGATTTGTGCCAACTCTCAGGCAAAAAGTTTGTTGTTGGCACTTCTACATCCTCTCCTGCCCGAGCCCCATGATCTTCGCGATGAAGCAGGCGTGATACTTGAGCGCTTTAAGAGGGAGCCGCCGAGGGGTATTTATCACGGGCCTGTTCGCGTCCAGATGTGTGCGCACCCTCAGGTACAATGCTTGTCTTGGCCCCTCAGACTACTCTCCACGGTCATCGCGATGCAGCAGGCGTTGCATTCCGGCATTTTGGAGTGGAGTCGACCAGGCGTGCATCACGGGACTCGTTGTCCATCTGTACCCAGGTTTTCCTTAAGTCGGATCCATTCGTATTCAGTCGCCCAGGTTCGCTCATGCTCAGACGCTCATGCGCAGGGATTTCGCCAGAGAAGAGATGCAGACATAGGGATATCCACATCGAGTTATCAATCCCGAGTTGTTTTTTGACGACCCTAGAACTCTGCGAGGTCCCGTGGTGCCCGCGGGCATCTTTGTCGCTTTCGCGATGCCCGCCGCCGCACTAGTGCATCGTTGGGCCACACACAAGTAAAACATTGCTGACGCTTCGCGAATCCCCCCCAGCCGCTTTAGGTCAATTCGTCTTTGCGCGGCCCGCTCTGACTGGACTCGCCGCTGGCGCTCTCGCCTGCGGCCGCTGACTAAAAGAATCCCCACCAGCCCATCCAGAAACGATGCCCAGAGGAATTGCCTCGATCAGGGAAGTGGGCAGCACACAGGGGAAGCCATTATGAGACATCTTGGGATATCTTGAGCCATCTTGGAGGTCATTTTGGGATCTCCCAGGCGCTCTTGATCTTACTCAGCGCCCCCCCCCAAGCGGCCAACATGTGGCTAAAACCTTCGTCAACTCAATGATTTGCATTCTCGCCGAGGCCTCTTGGAGCATCTTGGGTGCCTCTGGGGGGTCTCTTGGGGCCTCTTGGGGGTCTTTTGGGAGCATATTGGGGGCCTCTTGGGGCCATCTTGGGGCCATCCTGGGACCTCTTGGGGCCTCCTGGGCGCTTGGGGCCATCTTGGAGGAGATTGTTCAAACAAGAGGGGAGCTTTAATTAGCGTCTCCCCCCCAGGAGGCCAAACTGGGGCCAAAACCATAGTAAAACTAATGATTGTGGCTTCCTCGCCGAGGCCGGTTTGGCATTCTCGCCGAGGCCTCTTGGAGCATCTTGGGTGCCTCTGGGGGGTCTCTTGGGGCCTCTTGGGGGTCTCTTGGGGGCTTCCTGGGGCCCTCTTGGGGGCCTCTTGGGGCCATCTTGGGGCCATCCTGGGACCTCTTGGGTGGGGCCTCCTGGGCGCTTCTGGGGGCCATCTTGGAGGAGATCGATCAAAGAAGAGGGGAGCTTGAATTAGGGCCCCCCCCCTCCCAGGAGGCGAACATGGGGCCAAAACCGTAGTACAACCAATGACTGTGGCTTCCTCGCCGAGGCCGTTCTGGACGCTCCGACGACTCGCGGAACCCTCTGTCCAGGTCCATGGGGAGGGGGTAGGAGGAGGATCAAGACTCCCTCCCCGCCAGCAAGCCGTCTCGCTCACTCCCACCCGCCTCCCAACACATACGCGGCACCCGAGCTTGGCCCGAGCCGCAGCATATTCCGCAGTCGTCTTTGGATGGGCAGCTACTGGGGGCGAATCCGCCGCCGCCGCCGCCACCGCCGCCGCCGCCGCCGCAGCCGCCGCAGCCGATGCCCCCGCCGCAGCCGCCGCAGCCGATGCCCCCGCCAAGTGTACACTGTATTGTTTTGTTGACAGGGATGGTGGGGGGAGGCCGCATCGGGTTCGCTGCGCATGCTCCGAATTAGGAAGCAGAGTGTGTATTTGTATGGTTTCTTTTACAAGGGATGGTGTGGGGGGGCCCGCATTGACCCTGGTTGGCTCCCAGTCGCCAGGGGGAGGGGGTGTATATTAATAGGGAACAGTGATGAACCCATTCCCGGAGGGGAAGAAGGAGGGGTGGGAGGGGAAACGCACTGAACCACCGACGCCCAGAGGGCTGGTGGGACTTCGTTCTCCTGTTCCTCCTCCCCACGAGCGGGCGCAGCGCCGAGGCTGGACTACGGGCATACTCCGGACTCGTGCCTGGGGGCGCCGCTGCGGGTCCCGCCGCCGCCGGCGTCGCTCTACGGGGAGTGGCCAGACGCCTCGGCGCGGGGGCCCCAGAGGACGACGACGGCGACGGCGGCAACGATGAAGACCCTTATCACCACGACGGCGACGACGACGACGACGCCGCAGCCGCCGCCGCCGCCGCGACCGAAGCCGTCGCCACCGCCGCCTCCGCCGCCGCCGCCGACGCCGACGACGACGCTTGCGCCGCTTACGCCCTCGCCGATGCCGACGCCCACGCCAACGCCGATGCCGACGCCGACGCCCACGCCGACGCCGACACCGACGACGCCGACGCTGATGCCGACGCATACGCCGACGCTGATGCCGACGCCGACGACGATGACGACGACGCCGACGCCGACGCCGTTGCCGACGCCGCTTACGCCGATGCCGACGCCGAGGCCGACGCCAATGCCGACGCCGACGACGTCGCCTCTGCCCACGCCGACGCCGACGTCAACGCCGACGACGACGACGCCGACGACGATTACGACGACGACGACGACAACGACAACGACAACGACGACAACGACGGCGATGACGACGACACCGCCGCCGCCGACGCCAACGCCGACGCCGACGCCCACGCCGATGCCGTCGCCGACGCTGGCGCCGCCGCCGCCGCTGCCGACGCCGACGACGGCGCCGATGCCGCCGCCGACGCCGACGCCGACTCTGCCGCCGCTGCCGACGCCGCCGACGCCGACGCCGATGCCGACGACGCCGCCGCCGCCGAAGCCGCCGCCGCCTCGGCCTCTGCCTCTGCCTCTGCCTCTGCCCACGCCGATGCCGACGCCGACGCCGACATCGCCGCCGACGTCCAACGACGCCGACGCCTACGCAGACGCCGATGCCGACGCCGACGCCGACGCTTCTGCCGACGCCAACGCCGACGCCGACGCCAATGACGACGACAACGACGACGCCGACGACGACGACGACGCCGCAGCCGCTGTCGCCGCCGCAGCCGCCGACCATCGGCGCCAACGCCGCCACCGCCGCGGCCACCGACGCAGGCGCCGACGCCGACGCTGACGCCGCCGCCAACACCGACGCCGACGTCGACGATGACGCCAACGCCGACGCCGACGTCGACGCCCATGCTGATGCCGACGCCTCTGCCTCTGCCAGCCTCTGCCGACGCCGACGCCGCCGACGACGACGACGTCGCCGCCGCTGCCGCCGCCGCCGCTGCCGCCGCTGCCGCCGCTGTCGCCGCCGATGGCGACGGCGACGACGGCGACGACGACGACGACGACACCGACGACGACGACGACGAGGACGGCGCCGCCGCAGCCGCCACCGCTGCCGCCGACGTCGACGTCGACGCCGAAAGCGACGCCGACGCCAACGCCGACGCCGCTGCCGACGCCGACGATGACGCCGATGACGACGACGGCGACGCCAGCGACGCCGCTTCCGACAGACACAACGACGGCACCGACCGGGGCCGCCGCCGCCGCCGCAGCCACCGCCGCCGCTGCCGACGCCGACGCCGACGCCGACGCCGATGCCGACTCCGACGCCGACGCCGACGACGACGGCGACGCCGCCGCAGCTTCCGACGACGCCGCTGACGCCGACGCCGCCGACGCCGACGCCGACGCCCCTGCCACCGAGGCCGCCGAGGCCGCCGATGCCGCCGCTGATGCCGACGACGACGCCGACGCCGACGCCGACGCCGAAGTCGACGCCGACACCGCCGCCGCTTCCGACGTCGACGTCGACGTCGTCGACGACGACGCCATCGCCGCCGCCGGAGCCGCCGAAGTTTCCGGTGCCGCCGCCGCCGCCGCTGACTCCGCCGCCGCCGCTGGTGCCAATGCCAACGCCGACGCCGTCGCCGCCGACGCCGACGCCGACGCCGACTCCGACGCTGCTGCCGACGCCGACGCCGACGGCGACGCCGACGCCCATGCTGCCGCCGCCGCCGCCAATGACGACGACGTCGACGGCGGCGGCAGCGGCGACGACGACGGCGACGACGACCACGACGACGACAGACCGACAGACCGACGGATCGACCGACCGACAGACAAGACGGACCGACGGACCGAGGGACCGACGGACCGAAGGATCGACCGACCGACTGACCGACGGACCATGGACGATAGACAACGGACCACGGACGACAAACACCAGACGACGAACGGACGACGGACGACGACGACAAAGCCGACGCCGACGACGACGACGACGACGACGACGACGACGGCGGAGACGGCGGAAAACGACGGCGTCGATGACGGCGGAAACGGCGGAAAGCGACGACGACGGCGACGGCGGAAACGGGGGAAGACGACGACGATGAAAACGACGACGACGAGTGGCGGCTGCGGCGACAGCTGTGGCGGCGGCGACGGCAACTAGATTTTCGACGGCGACGACGACGACCACGAAGATGACGACGGACCGACGGACGACTGACGACCGGCGGACCGACCGACGGATTGACAGACCGACGGACCGAAGGACCGAGCGACCGACCGACGGTCGGACGGACGAACGCACGACGACGACCACGGACGACGGACGACGACGACGACGACAAGCACGACAGCGATGGCGACGGCGACGGAGACGGCGACGACGACCACGACGACGGTGGAGATGGGGAAAGACGACGACGAAGACGACGACGACGAGTGGCGGCGGCGGCGACGGCTGCGGCGGCGACGACGACTAGGTTTTCGACAACGATGACGACGGCGACGACCATAAACATGACGACGGACTGACTGACCGACGGACCGGCCGACGGACTGACGGACCAGCGGACCGATCGACGGATCGACAGACCGACGGACCGAAGGACCGAGCGACCGACCGACGTTCGGACGGACGAACGGACGACGATGACCACGGACGACGGACGACGGACGACGACGACGACGACAGGCACGACAGCGATGTCGATGGCGACGGCGACGGGGACGGCGACGGTGACGACGACGATGACGACGACGACGACGACGGCGGAGACGGTGGACGACGACGAGGATGACGACGACGACAAGGACGACGGCGGATACGGCAACGACGACGACGATGACGACGACGACGCCAGCGGCGGCGGTGACGACAACGATGACGACCTGGACGACGACAGACGGGCGGACCGACGGACAAACCGACAGACCGATTGACCGACGGACCGACCGAAAGACCGACGAACCGACGGACCGACGGACGACGGACGAGCGGGCGAACGAACGGGCGATCGGAGGACGACGGCGGGCGATGGACGAAGGACAACTGGCCACGGACGACGACGACGATGACGACGGCGACGGCGGAGACGGAGACGGAGGCGGCGACGTGGACGACGATGACGAGGAGCAGCGGCGGCGACGACGATGAGGAGGAGCAGTGGTGACGACGGCGTCGACGACGACGACCACGACGACGGACCGATGGACCGAGGGACCGAAAGACCGACCGACGGACCGAATGATTGACGGACCGACCGACGGACGGACGGACGGCCATTCGGACGACGACGACCGACGACGGACGATGGACAACGGACAACGGACGACGACGACGACGTCGATGGTGCAAACTGCGAACGGCGACAACGACGGCGACGACGACGACGACGACGACGGCGGAAACGGTGGACGACGACGACGCCGACACCGACGCCGACGTCGACCCGCCGCCGCCGCCGACGACGCCGACGACGGCGGCGGCGGCGGCGGCGAGGTGACGACGACGACCACCACGACGACGACGACGGCGACCACAGACCGACGGACCGACCGACGGACCGACGAATCGACGGACCGACCGTCCGACCGCCCGACGGACGGACGAGTGGTCGACGATGGACGACGGACATCGTATAATGATGATGACGAATGACAGGAGTGTGAGGGGTAGGAGGGAGAGATCGGGCAGATGCCCACGAGTTCCTCCTCTCTGAGTCCTCTGCTTTCTCCCCTGCTCCTCCCTCTCCCCGCCTTTCTCCCCGTCCGCCTCGCCCTCCATGGAGACCGGGTGGGGATGAGCACGAGCTGGCGTTGCCGTGCCAGGTTAGGTTCGCCACCCGCTCGCCACCATCGGCGGCGGGGGGATCGTCGGAGACCGCCCGCGCGGCATTTGGAGGCGCCAGGCCCGCGTCAGATGACCCTGGAGTAGTGGAGGCGTCGGGCTGCGTGCCGACGGCCCCCCCGCAGGTGATCCCAGCGGGCCTCCACGGGCCCCTCCGAGGAGCCGGGGGGGGTCTCAATGCCCAGGCGCCCCAGGTTCAAGGTTAAGTCGGGTACGTCCCTCTACAGGGGGGACATTCAAAAAGGGTCCCAAAATAATTGGGGGAACGATTTGTCCAGCATGTTTGACTATTTTTAATTCTGTTTTGATGATTTTCTTCCGTCCAAAATCCGCCTGTAGGGGGACGCCCTACCGAGGTTTAAGGGGATGAGTCGGCCACGGACTCTTCGGGGCGCCTCCTGAGGCCAGCTGGGACCTCCTGGGGGGTCTGTCTGTGGGCCACCCGAAGCCTTGCCATACTGCAGGCTGTGCTAAGGATGGGGCTGGGTGCGTCACCCTACTTCGGCATGCTCCCCGCGTACGAGCAGCACATCAGCCCGACGGGTACTTCTCCCATTGCGGGAGGCCCCCCTTTCCTCTTGTTATCCTCGCTGCAGTTGTTCTCCCCTTGCCTCCTCCCTCCCGTCTCCCACCTCGCGTTCCTCTTCGTTCTTTTCCCTCCCAGGCTTTCGCCCTCCTGCTCCTATCCTCTTCCCCTTCTCCCTTTCCCTCGTCGTCGTTGTCATCGACATCGTCGTTCTCTTTTTCTCTCCCCCGTTCTCCTGCTCCTCCTGCTGTCGTGGCCCTCTGAAGAAACTGCACTGCGTCGCACTGGCGCGTCATCGGGAACGCGAAATACAATGATCATACATTTCGGCGGTGTGTCCAATGAGATCTGCCTTCGAAGAAGGACCGCCCACCTCAATGTAACTGGTGTGCAAGTTTACACTTGTAGCGACAAGTTGGAAGAAGTTTGTCGTTACACTTTACTGCTACTTGACACACTACCGAGGAAGCCTCGGCGACAACTCTATTTTGAAAGAGCGCCGCCATGGAGCTGTGCAGCGCTACGTGCGCTGAAGCTTCGGGCCTTGAGAGTTAGCGAAGTCTCAGGCGATGACTGCATTTTGAAAACGACGAGTCCTTCATCATGTGAAGCGTTGCAACACAACGAATGCGCACTGTGCAAAGACGAATGCCCCATGTTGAAAAGGGCACGCCCTCCATTTGTGAAGCCAGTGGAACATTTCAGAAGAAGTGTGCGGTTCTACAGCGGGAGCACCATTTTGAACACCACCTTGTACATGCATGACATGATTGCATAGGGGAAGACCACATGTTGAACACGTCCTCGCCATCCGTGAAACTGTTTCACATGTTTAAGGCGAATCTTCGCGGCGCTAAGGCGAGAGCTCTCTTCCGAAAACATCGCCTTCCATCCGTGACACGGTTGCACATTTTTATGGCGAGTGCGTGCGGCGCTGAAGCAAGAACCTTTTTTTGAAAACAGCCCCCTCCCATCCTGTGAAATTGTTGCAAACTTTGAAGGCCCACGTGCGCGGCGCTAAGGCGAGAGCCCAGCCATGTCTTAAAGACCGCCCTCTACCCGCGAACCTGTTGCAAGTTTCAAGCTTCAGGATCGTAAGTGGTGAGGGAGTCGCGGTCTGTCGACAGTGACAAGGAGAATTTATATATTCATAAGGAGGGGAGATGGAAGAGGAGGAAGAGGAGGAGGAGGAGGAGAAGGAGGAGGAGAAGGAGGAGCTGGGGAAAAGGGGGGGTGGAGGAGGAGGAGGAGGAGGAGGAGCAGGGCAAGCAGCGGCAGCAGAAATTGGCGCTGGCGCAGTAGCTGTGCAGCTCAGATCCGTGGAACGTGGAGGAGCAGGCGGAGCCAGAGGAGCAGGAAGAGGAGTAGGAGAAGGAGTAGGAGGAGCAGCCTGGCGGAGGAGCTGGGCCCCCCGGAAGGCGAGCAACCTTGGGGTTGCTACACCCCGCAGACGCCCGACACCAGTGGCGATGCGCCCGACTGCGTGGAGCTGCTCAGCCGCCGGGGCGCGCGCCCGCCCTGCGCCGTCCTTCGCCGTTGTCGCCGCCGTTGTCGCCGCCGTTGTCGCCGTTGTCGCTGTTGTCGCCGATCGGCACTCGATCGATCGATCCTGGATCGGGCATTCGATTGGTCCTGGATCGACACTTGTTCGGTTAGGGCTTCGGGCATTCTCGTCGGCTTTCGGCGGTCTTCCGGCCTCGGGGTGCCTTCAGCGGGTGCGCCTCGCCGAGGGCTTTCCGTAGGTGCCCGGACCGTCCCGAACGGCTGTTGGAGAGCCGAGCAATGACCCCAAAGCCAGTGGGTAACGATAGGCGATGGGGGGAATAGGCGCAGGGGGGATGCACCGATCCCAATGGCGCATTCATCGCCGAAATGGGGGAATGGCGCGATCCCAGGCGCGTCCGGATTTGCTATCTGCTATCGGCGGCGTGACGGCGATCCATCGGCGATGTATCGCCGATTCCAGCTCGTTGATTCCCCTCTGAGCTGGTCCCCCCCTTACGTTCCCCTTATTCCCTTCAGCCGTGCTTCGTCGTTGTCGCGGCAGTCGCCGATCGACCCTCGACCCGGTCCTTGATTCGGTGCAATCGAGATCCGTAATTTCGGAAAGACTGGGGACGAACAGCGACAGCAGTTCCTGCCCACTTTGAACTGGAATCGCTGTCGGAGTCGTCGTGGGTGGGCGTTGTCCATCTGAGACGGGTCGCCTACCCAACAGCGGCCGCTGCAGGATTTGGAAAACGTTTGGCAGTTGGACATCGTGCCCATTTTTCAGTTCTCGTTCCGGGGAGTGCTACTCATTGTCGTCGCCGCCGCATAATGTCAGCTTGTGATTGACAAACGGCCAGACCCCCCCCCAGGCTTGATGAATAGACCCCGCGGGGTGCGATATTTTTTTATCACGCACTCCAGGGGGAAGGAGGAGGAGGAGGAGGGGGGAGAAGGAGGAAAAGGAGGAGGACGAGGAAGAGGAGGAGAAGAGGGAAGAAGAGGAGGAGGAGGAGGAGGAGGAGGAGGAAAAGGAGGAGGAGGAGGAGGAGGAGGAGGGGGGGAGATGGACTACCCGCCTTGCTCGTGTCGGGCGAAAGGCTGGGGAAGGAAAGAGGGGGTTGCAAAACCTGCTGCGCGCAGCTGGTGTCGGTCGCCCTGCCGAATGGCCAGTCCTCGACGCATGGTCGCTTTCGGCGACAGGATGCACTTGGAAAATCGGCGACGTGAGCTGTTTGGCATATCCCCCCTTTGCTGCGCTCCACTTTCGTCCAGCCCGCCCGCAGGCCCGCATCGGTTCGACAGAAAGAGGGGCGCCCTGGCTCTTGCCTCCAAACACAAACACCCCCCCTTGCCCCTTGTTGGCGGCCAGACGTCGGCGCTAATCACCGGCATCGCCCCGTGGCTTTTCAATTCGGCGGGCGCCACCCCGCGATTTGCCCGAGCAAGGTAACTATGTTTCAACACGCGCCCCCCACGGATTTGTTTATCAGAAGCTGACATTATGGATCTTCGATCGATCTGTATTGGTTCGATCGATCGAGGATTGGTCGATCCTCGATAATCCTCGATCCATCGATGGATGGCCGATCGATCGATCCGTCCTAGATCGATCGGTCCGCCGTCTTGTATCGATCGCCGCCACCGCCGAAAGATCCTTGGTCGTTCGATCGAGGATCGGTCGATCGATGTTTTTTCCCGATCTCGGCCTCAAATGAGGTCGTTGTTGATGCCTGGGACCTTTCGAATGTGGGTTCGGGGTGAGGAACTGCCCGTGGGGGAGAGTCGAGACTCGTCGTCGGTGTCGTCACGCCGCCGTTTCCCGCCGCTGCCAAGGGGGGGGAGAGGAACTGGAGTTGGCGACGTTGGGGGAAGGGGAGGTGTTGGGGGGAAGAGGAAACCGATTCGCATGCCAACGCTAGCGTGCAAGCACTGGTCGGGGAATTGTAATGGCGTAGATGCATGTGCAGTGACTGTTGAGGTAGTCCAGCCAGGGGAACGCACGAGGAGTTGCAGGGGTGTGAGGGGAAGGAAAGGAAGGAGGAAGAGAAGGAGAAAGGGGAGAATGAAGAGGAGGAGGAGGAGGAGGAGGAAGAGGAAATCGATGAGGTGAGGGATAATTCCGCCTCTCATGGCCACCAGGCATGCTGCAGCACCAGCAGCGGCTCGCGCCGGCGCGCGGTGACGCCTCAACCAGGCCAAGCGGTAGGGGGCGGCCTCCTCACGCCGCGTACGTGTCCTCCTTGGCCTCCCCCTTTTCTTGCTCGTTCTCTTCTAGCTTTTTCTCCTCCCTGTCCTCTCCTTGAGCTGAAAGTCCTCCTGCGTTGGTAGAGTAGGAGACGACCCAACGCCGCCGTGAGGGAGTTGACGCTGACTTTCAGCGGAAGCACAAGACCAGCATAGGCTGAGCCCCTTCGTCGTGGCCAGCGTGCCAGGGGCCACTGGACGGTCCGCATCATCAGGACCCTCAGGGCCCTCTCCCTTTCCGCGTCCTGCTGCTCCTTCGCCCCAGGCTCTCCCTCCTCCATCCCCCTTTCCGTTCAAGCAGCACCTCCGCGTTTTGCACCCCAAGACGCGTCGGTCGGGTGGATTGGGCGCTTCGCCGCAGACTTGCTCACCACTTGTGATCTTGGAGCTGTTGTTGCAGCATGTTCATCGATGGAGGGCGGGCCGTTTTCAAGACGTGGCTCTCGCCTTAGCTCCGCGCACATTCGTTATTCAGTCGCTTCGCTCACTCCGCTGACCCATGTTGCATGATCGCTACTGCTTCGCCGTGGGCCCGGGGCCATTGTGGCGCCGCCGAAGAGGAGGAAGATGAGGATGGGGAAGGGGAGGGGAGGAGGAGGAGAGGATGAGAAGGAGAGGAGGAGGAAGATGATGAATATAAGTAGGAGGAGGAGGAAGAGGATTGGGCGGAAGAGGAAGCCTCTCGTCATCTTGTGTTGCTCTTGGGGCCAAACAGGGTCGTCGTCAAGATGCTTCTTCGGGAGGCCTCTTGGGGTCTTTTGAGAAGCCGTTCGGGGGCGCCTCGGAGGCATGTTTGAAGCCTTCTAGCGCCTGTTGGGGCCTCTTTTGGGCCTCCTGGGGGCCCCCTGGGGCCTCTTGGGGGCCTCTTGGCGGCATCTTGGGGCCTCTTGGGGGCCTCTCGGGGCCTCCTGGGGCCCTCTTGGGGCGGAAGTCTCGAGTTTTCGGTTCGTGGTCCCCCTCTTGGGCCCTTCTTGGGGCCGTCTTGGGGTCGTTTTGGGCCGTCTTGGGCGCCTCTTGGGCCGTCTCTAGGCCCTCTTGGGGCCCTCTTGGAAGCCTCTTGGCCCGTCTTGGGGCGCTCTTGGGGGTGGCTCTCGCCTTAGCTCCGCGCACATTCGTTATAACAGCTTGCAGCAGCTTCGTGGATGGAGGTGGCGGGCTGTTTTCAAAATGGCGCTCTCGCCCTAGCGCGACACATGTTGGGCAACACAGTTTGCAACATGTTCAAGCATTCAGGGCACGCGGTGTCTTAATTGTGGTTCTCGCCTCATCGCCGCGCACATTCATCTCACACGTTTGCAGCCGTTTTTCAAAATGGGGGGCTGCTCCTTTCCATATCTGGCCCTCGCTGACGCGCCTCGCATATCGGGTCTACCATTTTGCATGAGGTTCCAGGACGGAGAGGGGCGGCGGTTTTCAAAAAAGGCCCTCGCTGTAGCTCTGCGCAAATGTGCCATAACATGCTACAGCTGCTTCAGGGACGAAGGGGGCTGCTTTCGACAATGGTTCTCTCGCTTTAGCTCCGCGCACATTCGGTCTAAACGTTTGAAAGAGCTTCGCTTCAAAGAGGGGCTCGTTTTGTTGCCGCCTACATGTGTTTTACCAGTTCGCAGCTTCCGTTTTCCAGATGCAGGGGTGATGCGTTTCAACATGGGGTTCTCGCTTGAATTCTGCGCATATTCGTTTCAATATTTCGCAGCAGCTCGCAAGACGTAGTTTTTTTATAGCTAATCATTTATAAGTACGTGTATATAATATACAGATATAAGTATATAGCGGATCTGATAACCCGAAAGCTACACGTGTAGCACTGTACGGATCGGAGGCAGCTTCTTTTCAAAGTGGAGCCCTCGCTTACGGCCTCCTCGAAGTTCATGGCCACGGGTGTCACTTTGCGAGCAGTTGCACAGTTGGGGGTGTGGTGGGCAATTTTTTCGAATGGTGAATCTCGCTGGACACCTCGTTGAACTGTATGACACTGGTGTTTGTCCCTTCCTTGATTTGATTACGCGCCGGAAGGACGCACGGGAGTTCAATTTTTTGACGGGGCCCTCGCCAACATTGTTTCTTAGTTCGGGGCCGCTCCTGTGATCAGATTTGTCTTGTTGTTCCATCTGTTGTCCTTTCTCGTTTCAACTGTGTTGCCCGCCTGTTTCGTAAATCCCGTATCAATTGTTAGAGTCATTCTTTGAATGTTCGTCTTCATCGCAATGTGTTGTTGTTGTTCGTTCTCCTCGTTCGTTCTGGATCGCAGGAGTGGCCAGTGCATACGGATCACCACAGGGTTCCCAAATCCAGCGAAAACAATTGTGATGCATCGCATGGGTTTCTCGGAAAATCTGTTGGGCATCTGGGAGGTTTTGAGGGGTCTCAGAGGAACAGGAGGAGGAAGGGGAGGAGGAGGAGGAGGAGGAGGAGGAAGAGGAGGAGGAGTTTGAGCAGGAGGAGGGCGACGAACAGGAGGAGGAACATATCGATGACGAGGATAAAGGAAGAAGAGGATGATGATGAGGATAGGATTTGTCACAGGGCTGTGTGAGCCCCGTCAAGCCCCGTTGCTGTGCCTGGGCTGTTGGTGGGGAGCCTCTTGGGTAGATGTGGGGGTCTTTGGGGATGTTTCTCAAGGGCCTCGTGGAGGGCTCTTCGGGGCATCCTGGCGGTTGTGTATAGCCTCTTGGAGGCCTCTTGGGGACTTCGGGAGGGCGTATTGGAGGCTTCTCGCACTGTTCGCATCTACTTTACTCTACGTGCTCATTGCCCCCTACTCCGGCTCGTATCCCCTTATCGTCCTCTCCTCATCCATCCGTTTCTTTTACTCCTCCTCCTTCCTGTTTCGTCCCCATTCTCGTTCCCCGCCCCTCCGTCGTGGTCTCGACGCCTTTTCTCTCTCTCGCTCTCTTTCTCTCTCTCTCTCTCTCTCTCTCCCTCCCCCCCTCCCCTCATCTTCTCCCTATATCATTATCTCTCTCTCTGTTTCTCTCTTCCCTCTTTCGTATCCTCACGCTTCCGTAGCCCCTCTTGGCTCAAGTTGGCTTTTCTTGCCATCGCGCCAGCCTCGTCGGAGACGGCGCTCGATAAGAAGCGCACCGCAAACAGGAACCGAGCAAGGGTCAGGGCGGTAAAGAACTTCCTCAACAAGCCTTGGGTGAGGCAGCCCTTGAATGATGCGGTGAAAGACTACAAGAAACAGGCGCAGAAAACCCTCGGCGATGCTTTGGCCGCCGCCTCCCTGCGCACGAACGCGCGCCTCGACGAGCTTTGCGAGAAGAACAGGGCGCTCAGAAGGCAGCTCTGCGCGGCCCACACGAAGACGCGGGAGCAGGAGGACGTGCTCAAGCAGCAGCAGGACACGACACGGCGGCCGACTCGAGAGAACGACAAGCTCGAGCAACGCAACCAGGACTTGCAGACGGAGCTCGACCAGGCCGGATCCGCCCTGGCCACTTTCCGCTCTAAGCAGGCCCGCTTCAACCATTGGGCAACGCCCCTGGACAAGAAGCGCTGGGCTTGGCTCGCCTTGGACCGCGAGCAGTGGACCTCGAGGGGCACTTCGTGCTTTCGGGGTGGCTGCGCTGGCGCGCAGCAAGGCGCCCACGCGCGCGCGCGAGACGGCCAACGGAACACAGGAAATGCTGACGGATTGCGCCGCCTGGCCCGGGCGGCCTTCGTTCGGTCGATCCGCGTGAAATGGCGCGCAGCACTTGCGCAGCGACCCGCGCGCCGCCTCGATATGCCGAGTTGTTCTGGCCGCGGCAGCAAGGTAGGGGGATCTTGAACAAGATCCTTCTCGTCGAGAGGACCCCCCTTGGGGGCCGCTGACGACGCGCAGAACATACTGACGCACTGTGCCGCCTCGCCGGGGCAGCCCTCGTTCGCTCGCTCCGCGTGGAACCGCGCGCCGCCTCGACATGTTTCGTCGTGATGGCTGCGGTGACAAGGTAAGGGGGATCTTGAACACGATCCCCCTTGTCGAGGGAACGCCCCTGCGGGGGCTGCTGACGACGCGTTGAAAATGCCGACGCATTGCGCCGCCTGGCCGGAGCAGCCCTCGCTCGCTCGATCCGTGTGAAATTGCGCTCAGTTCTTGCGGAGCGAACCGCGGGCCGTCTCGAAATGCTTCGCTGCGCTGGCCGCGGCAGCCATGTAGGGGGACCTTGAACAAGATCCCCCTCGTCGGGGGGCCCCCCGCTGGGCTGCTGACGACGCGCAGAAAATGCTGGCGCATTCTGCCACTTGGCCGGGGCAGCCTCGTGCATGCAACGCGCGTAGCACTTGCGGGGCGAACCAGAATGCCTCGTTGCGCTGGACAGAAAGAAGCGGCCTGCCCCGCGGAGAAGAACGCCTCGCGCGAGACACGGAACATCGCATCGTGGCCCAATCTCCAAGGCGAAGTGGTCATGCAGCGCGAAGCAACTCCAGGGCTTCAGCCATAGGCAGATCGTAGCGAAGATGACGGCAGCCGGCTTCCTGAAGGACTGGCGGCAACACGCGTGCCCTCGTTGCGGCGAGGGCCAGGCGCTGGCGGCTTGGATCCTGCCCCGGGTCACGATGGCGCAACGATAAAACAAGTTGACGTTGGGCGTGTATTTTTTCTATCCAGGGAACTTCTTGACGGGGCCCCCGCCGGGGCCAGGGCCGGGTGTCGAGCAGTTCGAGGCGTCGAAACTCCAGCGCAAGTCGCGTAGAACATGGGCGCGCCGCTGCTGCAGAGAGTCGCGCCACAAATGCATTCGGCCACATGCCTGCCAACCTGCGCTGTCGACCGATTGGGGCAGAGATTATCGGAGTTTGAAGGGCCAGATGATCATTCTCTTCGGGCTGGCGGCGGGGCTCACGACCGCCGAGAACCATCTGCTCTGGGGGCCAGCAGGGACATCGTGGCGAACATGTCCAGCAAACCTGACCTGGCTCGGCAGAATATCGCCCCGCGCGAAGAGAAGAAGATCAAGTTCGGCGACCCTCTCCAGAAGCAGCGGCGGGGCGTAGAGGCAGACGAGGTTGGCCTCGACGAGGAACAGGTCGGCGACGAGACGAAGTGGAATCAGTGGGCCGGCGTTGTGGATCGCGGCCCGCCGTAATCTTTCGTCATCTTCAAAACGTCGCCGAAGCTGACGAGGCCGCGCGCGCCTGGCCCTGGCCCCGCCGCGAAGAATGATTGGGCACCGATGGCAAAAAAACATCTCGAAGGGCGCAGGGCCTTGCTTCGCACAGACGGCGCGCGGGCCTACAAGACCGGAGCGAATCGGAAAAGCAAGCTCGACGGCGCGGTGCACGACTACGTCGCGCACAAGCTGAAGATGCAGGGGCCAAGCAACCAAACTCAAGGCGACGCACGTCCAGCTCTTTTCCCACTGCGTCGAAGGAAATGCCGCCCGCGCCAAGGGGTCCATCGGTGCTGGAGGCGCCTGCGAAAGCGCGTGGGAACGAGCTCTTCCACTGCGTCAGGCACCAGGAAATGCGGTGCTAGAGCGCGCGCTGCGCAATGGCACTACTGGCGCATGGGCTCTGACCTTTGGGCGAAGGCAGGCGATCTGTCCAGGGCGTTGCTGTGAGCTTCTGATCGTTGCATCGTATCCGCGCGCGGTGTCCTTACTGGCTGCTGCATGCCGCGCTTGCGGCGATCTCGCCTTGCCCCGAAAAGCAGATTCTCACGTCTTTAGCGATCGCGTCTCACGCGTAGAACCACTCCATGGGACTCTGCAACATGATTGATACGGTGCGACCAACAGACGCACTTCTCTTATGCGGTGCATATCAAGTAAGTTCAATTGTCCGGGTTTCAGGTGCAATTCTTTTGTCGGGAACAGTAATTTGATTTGTGCTGCGTAAGCAGAATTGAAATCTGTTGTGCAGACTTACAAATTGATATATTTGTTTGCGGAATCAAGAATGATTTTTTTTTTTGCGGGAAATTATAAGTTGATTCCTATTGCGCAGGCATCAATTGAAATCTTTTCCCGGAAAGGGCATGAGCCCAGGGTTCTCTTTTAGTAGGTAAACCTGTCCCCCGGTGCCAACTTGAAGGAGGCCGGCGAATTTTTTCCCTGATAAATAACGAGGTCGAAGGAGGCCGGCGAATTAAAATTTGAGGATGTCTCGAGCGAAACGCTTGTTTTTGAAATCCCGATCGATAAATCACAGGGTGCGGGACACCTCAGCACGACCACACCTTCAGCATGACCACACATCAGCACGACCACGCCCAGCACGACCACGCCCCAGCACGACCACACCCCAGCACGACACACACACGACCACACCCCAGCACGACCACACCCCAGCACGACCACACCCCAGCACGACCCACCCCAGCACGACCAGCACCACACCCCAGCACGACCACACCCCAGCACGACCTCACCACAGCACGACCACACCCCCACGACCACGCCCCAGCACGACCACGCCCCAGCACGACCACCCCCCAGCACGACCACCCCCCCAGCACGACCACACCCCAGCACGACCACCCCCCAGCACGACCACACCCCAGCACGACCACTCCCCAGCACGACCACACCGCCTTGGTTGAGTGGTTGCCTGTCGTCGTGGAATGTTTCGTGGGGTGTCTCGTGGAATGTTTCGCGGGGTGTCTCCTGGAATGTTTCGTGAGGTGTCTCGCGGAATGTTTCGTGAGGTGTCTCGTGGGATGTTTCGTGAGGTGTCTCGTGGGATGTTTCGTGAGGTGTTGCCCCGTTGGGTATCGTGAAAACGTGCCCATGCTCCACATGTCTATATCCCTTTCCGGGTTCGTGGGTCCATCATGTTTGTGCTGATTTACACGTTGAATCCTCTTGTGCGGCTCTCAACTAAGATCCCTTTGTGGGGCGCCACAAATTGATTCCTACTGTGTAGGATGCAAATGGATTCCGTTTATGCAGACTTACAAATTGATTCCTATTGCGCGGTCCTCAAATAGAATTTCTCTGCGCCTGCCTCCAGAGGGAGGGCAGGGAGGCGGGCTGGCCGAGGAAAAACACAGAAACAACAACAAAGACAAACACATAAAAAGACAAACCAGCCAACTTGGGAGCAAGGAAAACTTGTGTTTCACAGTGTTTGCGCATTTACAAATTGAATCCTATTGTGTGGCTCGCAAATAACATCCTCTCGTGGGGAATTACAAGTTCATTCTTATTGTGTAGGAATCAATAGAAATCCGTTTGTGCGGACTTACAAGTTGATTCCTAGTGTGTGGTCAGCCCGCCCCCCCCCCCCCAGGAGGCCGGCGTGAAGGAATTCTATTTGAAGATCGCACAATACGCAAGTCCGCGCAAAAGGATGTCAATTGCATCATGCACACTAGGAATCAACTTGTACTTCTTCACACAAGGATTTTGCTTGAGAGCCACACAAATGGGTTCAATTTGTAAATGCGCAATCACTGTGAAAGCACAAGTACTCCTTGCTCCCAAATTGTTTTTTTTGTTTTTGTGTGTGTGTGTTTTGGGTTCACACTTAAAAAACCATTCTGCAATTAAAAACACAGCGTTATTGGTCCTCCAAGTTGTTGTTGTTGTTTTGTTTCTTTTTGTTTTTTTTCGTCGGCCTTCCCGCCTCCCTGCCCTCCCTCTGGAGGCAGGCACAAAGGAATTTCATTTGAAGGCCGCACAATAGGACTCAATGTGTGAGTCTGGGCACAAGGATGTCCATTGATTCCCACACAATAGGAATCAATGTGTAATCCCCCGCAAAGGATTTTATTTGAGAGCCACACAGAAGGATTCACACTGTAAGTCTGCACGAAAGGAATTCAAATGACTCCTGCACGATAGGAATCAAGGTGTAATTCCCCACGTAAGGATTTTATGTGAGAGCCACACAAACGGATCCAATGTGTAAATGCGCAAACGCTGTGAAAACAAAAGGTCCCCCTTGCTCCCAAGTTTTTTTGGTTTTTGTATTTTTGGTTTCATACTTAAAAACCACTTCACAACGAAAAACACATCGATTTCGGTGTTCCAAGCTGTCTTTCTTGTCTTTGTTGTTTTTTTGTGTCTTTCGTCGGCCAGCCTGCGTCCTTCCCCTCCTTCCCGGAGGCACGCACCAAAAGGAATTCTATTTGAAGGTCGCGCAATCAGAATCAATGTGGAAGTCTGTACAAAAGGATTTCAACTGTTTCCCACGCAATAGGAATCAATGTGTAGATCCACACAAAAATATATTCAATTTGTATGACGTTCCAAAACCGTCGACTTAGTAATATCACGCCCCGACATGTTCTTCGCATACAAAACATCAGGAATGATTTTGTCCGCTTTCACTTTCCGTAGCAAGAACGAAGTAATCTGGATCACAGGAGCGGCCCTTACCATAGTTATGTAAAACATACGTATATACAGCGGATTTGATAACCCGAAAGCTACACGTGTAGCAGTGTACGGATCGGAGGCAGCTGATTTTCAAAGTGGAGCCTTCGCTTATGGCCTCCTCGAAGCTCATGGCCGCGGGTGCTACTTTGCGAACAGTTGCACAGTTGGGGGTGTGGTGGGCCATTTTTTCGAATGGCGAATATCGCTGGACACTTCGTTGAACTGTATGACACTGGTGTTTGTCCCTTTCCTGATTTGATTTCGCGCCGGAAGGATGCACGGGAGTTCATTTTCAAGACGGGGCCCTCGCCAGCACTACAGGCCCACATGGTGTTCGTTTTTCAGGGGGCGCTTCTCGTAGTGAGGAGGGGAGCTTACTTCGTAGGGGTGTAGGAGAAAAGGAGGATGTATGACGGCATCGCTGCGGCGTCTTCTGTTCATTGTTGGTCCGCCTCCTTTTCCTGACCTTGCTCCTTCTCGACCTCTTCCCCCTTCCCTCTGACGCTAGCTCCTTCTTCCTTCCCCCCAACGCCCTCCCCCCTCCCCCCTCCTACTTCCTTTCTGCTTCCGGCAATGGGACTCAAACCGTTGAGTCTGCTCTCCTCCTCTCCATCCTCCTACTCCTCCTCGCCTCATCATTTCGGAAACCGCTCTTGGCGGTGGCGTGTCCGCCTTAGCGCTGCGCACATTCATTTCGAGCTCTTGCAACATTTAGCATGGTGGAGGTTTTTTTTTGAACATGGGGTTTTCGCACGAGGCTCCTTTCATCATTGACGCTTCGCGTATCTCCACCAGTCAACCTCACGTGCGAGAAGGGCCGGCAGTGGCAGCTGGCCATGGCGATGCTCAGCGTAATGTTGGTGGCGACGTTGGAGGTCAGGCTCACGTCCGAAAAGGGCTGGCCGTGGCAGCTTTCCCTTGCGTTGCTCAGCGAGATGGTGGTGACGCTGGGGCCCAACCTCACATGCGAGAAGGGCGGGCGGTGGCAGCCAGCCTTGGCGATGCATCGGAAGAAGGTGGGACGAATGGCAGTGGCGGCAGCAGTGGCATGGAGGGAGGAGGAAGGGGTAGCAGTGGCAGCATGGTGGGAGGAGAGACAGGGCTGGGCTGCGCAGACTTGGCGGTCCCTTCCGATGTCGACGACGACTTGTGAACCCGCGAAGGGGGGGAAGAACAACTCAGACCGCGCCTTGCCGCTGGAAACGATGGCTTACCGAAAGAGATTGCCTCCCATCCCTCCCCTGTTCATCCCAAGGCTGCGACGGTTAGTCGCCTCTCTTCTCCTGATAACATGCCAACTGCGCCTGTCCCCCCACCTTCCAGTAAAGCAGTGGTTAGCTGCGCCCCCTTGTCTCTCCCCCCCGCCGCCTCGACTGATGTCCTCCTGGAAGCGACGGTTAGTCGCCCCACCGATGAGGATTGTGCACAGTTAGGTCAGCAACCTCTTCAGCAACTCCACGCCGATACTGCATGCGACCGCCCCGTGGAGGACCATGCACCCCCCGATGCTTCTTCGACTTCTCCCCTGGAGGACAGCCAGCCCACGAACAACCTACAAAGCAGACGCCCGACAACCAGCCCTCTCCTCGAAGTCCCGCTGGCTGCCCCTCTCCTACTCCCTCCCCGACTCTGACTCCCAATGATGTTCTGCGCTTTACACAGGACGACAACAACACGTGACAGCCCGGTACACCTGACACCGACGCCCACGCTGACACCCAGCCATCACTTTCTGCGCCCCCACTGCCACTCTTGACCCGAACGCTGCCCTCCTCGGGACGCAGCAATAACTCAACTCTTTTCAAAGCTTTCCGCCCCCAGCCCCCACAGAGCACGAGGTCGCCACTGACATGCCAGCTGATCTGGATCACGACTCGGGTTTGGAAATGTGAAACGATGGAGAGCGGAGCACCAACCGCGCAGCCACCACTATCTACCCCCCACGCACGTCGCCCGACAGCCCCCCCACGGAGACAGAATGCTGACGGAAGCAGCCATGCTGGACCTTCACGCCCTGCCTCCGACCCACGAAGAAGCCGCGACAGCTCCTTCCTCTCCCTCCCCTGCCCCCCCTCTTCCACCACACTGACCCACTCCATCATCGCACCAGATTTGAAGCAGCCCACGACTGCCAACATAACCTTCCACCAGTACGCCAACCTCTGCAACGCTGGCACAGCCGCCCGAGAGTTGGTCCCCGCAACGCAACCCCACGTGGATTCGATCGTCAGGATCTCTCCCAAGCGAGCCGACAAGGTCCCTGCATCGAAAACTTGATACAAGGCACACCCTTCCCACGAGGGGGTTGGCCCCAACGCGCTGACCAAACGCCTCGGTCTTTCGAAGCCACGATGCGACTGCAACTACTGGCGCATTTTGCCTGGAAGAGTCACCCAGCGGGACACTCCATCCTGGCACAAGCTGGCACATTAGCTGAATGTCGTCGGCGCGAGCTTCCCGAAGCCTGCGACACCGAGTGCGACCAATGCCCCAACATCCTCATGAGCATGGACCTCAATCGCCTTGCCTGGACTCTGAAGGGATAGTGGGAGGAGTCAGACCACACCCATCACAGTTACTCGCCGTGCGTCTTGTCACTGTGCGCCACATCAGCAAAATCGATGAATGCCCACGCCTTGACAACGACGAAATCACTGACCTTGAGAAATGTGTCGTTCACCTAGAATACGCCAACATGTGCCGTGCATCAATATGCTGCGGCATCGGCAGCAATGCTGCTGTTAATCAAGACCGAGGGGGCGATCGAGTTGACCGCCCCCCTCACACGACCGCTCCCGGTCTCCTACTTAAGCCACATCCCCAACAGAGCAGCGAAGAGGCACCGCCGCCGGGCAGAGTGCTGCAGCTACTGAAACATGAAAGGAGACAGGCTATCATCCACTTCCTTCCGTACAGCGAGCTCCGCGTTTGGGCTTGCCATCACCGCTCCCGCGGTGGCCCCGCCAACGGAGTGTTATCCGTAAGGGCTTCGCCCCCTGCCGCCGGCCCCCTCTCTCGGAGAATGGGCCATGGAAGAACTAAGTCATGAGGCCTTGGCGCTGTCGTGAAGCAGTATCGAAACTTCATGCGAAGCCGATTCGCAATCAGCAAAACCAACTGATCACAAGAGGGGTTACCACACCTGGCGATTGGTAAGACGTGTATGGTTTACAAGCTTGGTTACCACACCTTGCGATGAAAGGGCCGAGGGAGTTCTCGCAGTTTGGGTTACCACGCCTTGCGATGGATGTGCGTGAAGGGTGGCACCGAATTTCAGAAATGTGGCAAATCCCCTGTGTTTTTGGACCCTGACCCCGCGGATCTGCGGGAGGGGTGGCGCCGAATTTCAGAAATGGGTACCCTTTGTCTGCGTGAACCGAATTTCAGAAATGTCAAATCCCTTGTGTTTTTGGACCCTGACCCCGCGGATCTGCGTGAGGGGTGGCACCGAATTTCAGAAATGTGGCAAATCCCATGTGTTTTTGGACCCTGACCCCGCGGATCTGCGTGAGGGGTGGCACCGAATTTCAGAAATGTGGCAAATCCCATGTGTTTTTGGACCCTGACCCCGCGGATCTGCGTGAGGGGTGGCACCGAATTTCAGAAATGTGGCAAATCCCATGTGTTTTTGGACCCTGACCCCGCGGATCTGCGTGAGGGGTGGCACCGAATTTCAGAAATGTGGCAAATCCCATGTGTTTTTGGACCCTGACCCCGCGGATCTGCGTGAGGGGTGGCACCGAATTTCAGAAATGTGGCAAATCCCATGTGTTTTTGGACCCTGACCCCGCGGATCTGCGTGAGGGGTGGCACCGAATTTCAGAAATGTGGCAAATCCCTGTGTTTTTGGACCCTGACCCCGCGGATCTGCGTGAGGGGTGTGGATTTCGAGCCCCCCCAGCAATTCAGACAACGCGCCCAGGGGATGCTAAAAATGTGGTTTGGGCCTCCCCCCCCCTCGCGCGGTCAATCAACTAGTTACAGTAACCAGCTATAAGTCAACTAGTTACAGTAACCAGCAAGAAGCAGAACTGTAACACTGGAAACTACAAGCTACAACTGGTACAGGAAACTGCGAACCTCGCGCCTACAGCCTGGTGGCCCCACAAGGGGGCCGGCGGATCCAGCGCCTTCGACCGCGCCATCGCAACCGACATTCAGAGAGACGTCCAGCAACCAGAAATGGCTTGTTGACGATTGCGCGGTTCCAGCACCGGGCGTCACCCCTCCGCTACAGGACTCCGACTACAGGCAGATTTGGCCCTGGAACGACATTGCAACCTTTCCACAGCTCGGCAGACGCTTCACACCAAACGAACGATGTCTTTTCCGTGGTTTTTGGTGCCTAAGGGCGCCGGGCCCTGTCGTGGGATCATGCCCGCTGCGCGCGAGATTCTCAACCCCCTGGCTCTCAGACGAATTCGACGGCGAGAGCCCGCCTTTCCTACCAATTGACTCACCAACGTAATCCCCCTCCCTCGCCCACGCAGCTCGTAGGTTTGCCCCCATTCACCTGCCACCTCTACCAGGACCTACACAACGCCGCAGACTACTCCCCAACATGGTTAGTCCGCAAATTACTGGGGGCATGGCGGATCTCGCCAGAGGCGCTAGACCAGCGCCTGCCAACCGCGCTTCGACTGAGAGCCACCTCCGTTTGGCCGCTGACAAACTCGCATTTCTCTGCGCAGCAAGCACTGAGTGGACCACCGACGTCTGCGGCGAGATGCACGCCCAAATCTCGCAAGGCAAGCTGCACGGACAGCTCGCCGGTTGGCTCCCCGCAGCACTCACGTCGGTTCACGCACAGGCCACGTTCGCCCCAACTACAGGCGGGAACGCAGCAGCGCGCAGCCAGCCTGCTCAACAAAGCTCCTCTGCCTACCGTCACTTGACCCAGCTTGGACTGCAAACGGCTGAGATCGCATGACTTCAACACGCACATCGGGATGTGTGTCGCAGCCCAGGTTGAGTCCAGCGATCAGCCTTATATCAAACGAGTGCGCGACGATCGCGGCATGACCACCACCGAGCGGGCATTGGCCACTCAGGCACTGGTTGGATACGCCACTCTAGCGCTCGGTGAGCATCAAAACCTTGCGCTCCTATTCTAAGACGACGAACCCATCGGGATATCGAGCGCGCCATCGTTCGGCACTGGAGGTGCTTGACCACACCAATTGCACAGGGTAACACGCGCGTCGACACCGCCATGGGAATCACAGAGGCAGCTCAAAGCGAACCTCCACCCATGCAGGCAATCACCGTCATGCTCAAGGGGCGTGAGGAGAGGAAGTGCCTCCAGGATTTCAAATCCGACATACAGGAAGTACGCGAGCGCATTGCCTCATCCACTCGCCCCAGCATGTACAAGTGGGATATCATTATTGTCACCTTCATCTGGGATACTGCGACTGAAGCTGGACGCGCGCTCTTACTCGATGTGTTTGGACGCCGCCAACTCGACGCCAGAGCAATCAACGCAGCGGAAGCCTGCTGGAGAGAGGCGTAGGTTGACGCTATCGAGCTTGCTTGCGCCAAGGTGGAGGGAATAGTCATTTTGGCTATTCCAAACGGGTGCCGCCGCCGCGCGATTTTGGCTGCGCCTACTTGGTGGTCGCCACCGGGATTTCCACGCCACCGGGTTGGGAGTGCCGCTCCTGGTGCACATCTGAGTGGCCGCCCGCGCGCTCGCTTCGCTTGCCCCTCTCTGCGCCTGTATTGCTTTTCCGCTTTCCGCTCTTCTGCTGCGTAGTCGTGGCCCGGCTAGACTTTGAAACTTTTTGACCCGCTTCACGGGGCCGCTGACCAAAAAGTAACTCCACCAGTGCAGTCCCTACCCTCGGCGCAGCTCAGCCCTGGCGCAGCTGCTTCCTCTTGCGGTAGGTCCTGCCTTGCTCGGCGCGCGCGCCGGCAATTAGGTTCGGTCGTAGCCCGAGCCTACTCTGTTTTTGCGGCTGGCGCCTTCGCC